TCCAGGGCTGTGACTTCCATCCTCTGTCCCTCCCGCCACCTGGGGGCTGAATGTTCCAGGTTTACTACGGCCCCCATTCTGGGTCTGCCCCTTCCTGTGATGTAAGTTCGGCCCAAGCAGGACAGGCACTACCCTCTTTTGATGCCAGCTCTGAGCCCAGCAGTGGACAGGGTGGAGAGCTGTGCTTTCCCCAAGCACACGGGTTGGTGTGGGAATCAAGGGCTTTAGTTGAACTAAAGGAACTACTTCAGGAGAAGCCCAGGAGGTGGAAGTAGCTGCAGGAGTCATTGGTTGGGACCCAGGCCCATCCTCCACTGCAGAAAGGGAATGTCTGCTTTTTCTAAAATGCAATGAAGTATTTGCACAGGGTAACTGCTTGTGAGGACACAGATCGCCTTCCTTTCTTAAGAGAAACCAAAGCAGAGTTAAATAGGCCCTGTGAATGCATTCAGTGTGGGACCCCCAAGTGGGAGGCAGCATTTATGAAGGTGTTTCGGGGACCAAGCTGGTGATGGCATGTGTATTTCATGGTTACATAATCCTGTTTGCTTAAAGTGCCTACAGTAGGTTTTGTCCTTGGTCACAGTTAACAGAGAGATGTAAAACGTAACCCCGCTCACTGGTTAGAACCTGTGGCTGCCTTCATGCTACCACAGCAGATCAGAGTACTCCCAAGAGACTGCGGCTGAAAAGCTGGAAACATTTACTGTCTGGCTCCTTCTAGAATGTATGTGAGCCCCTCAGTCACATTGTTCCTTTCTTGACCTAACTTTAGGTCTGTCCGATTTCTGAGCAGGTGCAGCATGTGAGTGATCTGCAGGATGTAGAAAGAACCATTTACCACCTGCTCATGTTCAGTCATCACTCTCACCCACTCCACTTTTTCTCCTCGTGTCACAGACTCAGACTTAGTAGCCAATTCAAACTGAATACTTCACAAAGGGGCTAATATGTGAGGCAAAGGGGCCGACGCTAACCTGACTAGCTCAGGGTAGGTCTGCGTGGCAGCCTTGCAAACACAGAAAGCAAAAGTAACCATAGTGGTGGTCTAAAATTAAAACTTTTGCCAAAACCGGTTTGGCTCAGTGGATAGAGCATCGGCCTGCGGACTGAAGGGTCCCGGGTTCGATTCCGGTCAAGGGCATGTGCCTGGGTTGCGGGCATATCCCCAGTGGGAGATGTGCAGGAGGCAGCTGATCGGTGTTTCTCTCTCATCGATGTTTCTAACTCTCTATCTCTCTCCCTTCCTCTCTGTAAAAAATCAATAAAATATATTTAAAAAAAATAAAATTAAATTAAAACTTTTAATTTAGAAAATTGTTTTAGTTAATTTCAGAGGAAGGGAGAAGGAGAGATAGAAACATCAATGGTGAGAGAGAATCATTGATTGGCTGTCTCCTACACTCCCACTCCTGGGGATGGAGCCTGCAACCTGGACATGTGCCCTGACCAGGAATTGAAACAGTGACCTTCTGGTTCATAGGCTGAAGGTCAAATGCTGAACCACACTGGCTGGGCTGAAATTAAAACTTTTTAAACTAAAAAGCAGTTTACGGTGGGTAATCATGGTCTAGGTTGACATCTTCCCAGACAAAGGTCAATCTTCACCATAATGGGTCCTCTCTGTTGTCTTTTTGCATCTACAATAACATATCACTGGAACTATCCTGCAGCCACCTCAGTAAAGGCAGTATGTGTCTATCACTTTTCTTTTTATCCAATCCCAGTGGCCTCCTCCCCCTCCCCTCACCCCCCACTTTGCTTTCTCCTGCCTCCCTAATCTATCACCAATGGGTTTCATGGAACCCACTTGTTAGGATGGAAAAAGGCCTTTCTTTTTCTTAGCTGTAGCCTTCTGCAATGTATGAGAAGCACCTAGGACTTCTGCCTGGACTGTCTCCTGAGGAAATAACAGACCACCCCCTGCTGTGGGCTCCATTGCACCTAGCAATAGCAGCAGCCCACAGATGCCCCTCCGGTCCCTGCCCCAGGCTTTAAAAGAGCAGTTTCCATTGTTCATTGCCCTTGCATTGGTTAGCAATGCACTGGTGCTTTCCCTCTGGGAAGTGAAATAAACTCTCTCTCTCTGTATCTATCTCTTCTCACAGTTGTGAATTCTTTCCACAGCCCAAATCCCCTAGTCACAGGCCCAAGGACCCTACTAGCACTTATGTCTCCTCTTTTGATTGTAATGTATCAAACAAGGCGCAAATCCGGTGTTCTCCAGAGCATGACCTCAATTTGTTGAGATTCTGCTTCCCAGCATTTGTCGACACTTTGGCTCAAAAGAACTCATAAAAATTCTCAGGGTTGAATGTTTCTTAGGTTAACATATACTATATTTGGATAGAAATTATTTGACAGTGTACGTGTCCTTTTGACCTATTCAGAACAGATAACATAATAGGGCCCATAGAGTGGAGCTCACCATTTTACAACATTTTTCTCTGTAACTAACTGTCCGTGAGGCCCCTCAGCATCTGAGGGCAAAAGGGCCAGGAACACAGGGGTCTCTGCACCCTCTTCTGGGCTTTTGGGGGCTGGGGTCCAGTCAGGTCGGTTCTCACCCACCCTGGGCAGCAGGCATTCAGGAGGATCTTGTCCCCTCTCCTGTGCGCACTCAGGTTCCTGGCGTGGATCCTGGACAGGACGGTGACGCCGATTTTTGTGACGCCGTATGTGCTGCTGGGCCAGCCCTCCCTCTGATGCACCCCGTTTCGAGTATCTTCCACGAACTTGTTCATGAGCCCCACCAGCTCCTCCTCACTGATGGTGTCGCTTCTGAACTTCTGCTGCAGCTCCGGGCTGCAGTTTTTCAGAGCTCTGAGACTCTCCATGCTCGACACATTCACCACTCTGCCTGAAATGCAAAGGAGGTTGTTATGTAGAAAGGCAGGCACGAGCATACGGGTGCCAAATCTGCCCGGATTCTGGACCAGGAAATTTCCATGAGCATTAATGAAGACTTGTCATACCCAGTATATATCAGATGATGTCAGAGAAATGTTTTTTTAAAAAAACATATTTTTATTAATTTCATAGAGAAAGGGAGAGGGAGAGAAACATCAATGAGAGAGGATCACCGATTGGCTGCCTCTGGCATGCCCCACACTGGGGATGGAGCCCAAATGCGGCATTGGCCCTGACTGGGAATCGAATCAGGACTTCATAGGCCGACCCTCAACCCCTGAGCCAAGCTGGCCAGGCTCAATTTATCTCTTAAAATTAAATAGCTCTGCACAAACAGTTGTATGCCATCTAAAGGGTAAATTAGTTGTTCAAAGGAGGACAAAATCTTGGTACGTCGTGGCTTTACCAGATGGACTATCTGTTCCTTTCCATGTCTCCTTACCCCACACTGGCTCCTCCAAATGGCAGGCATACTTCTAGTCCTGTGTCTGTATCTGTCATATAAATTCTATATAGAGTGTATCCGCTCAGTGATCCTTTGGGTGGAAAGGAGCAGGGAATCGGGGAGGAGGGGAGGGGAGATGGGGGGCAAGGCTGTGAAAATAAAAGATTAAACTTGGCCAGAGCAAGGTTTGGCCTTGACCCAGGGCTGCTGGGGAATCTTGAAACTGTTGGACTGTTCATCCTGATAAGATTGTGCTATTACCTTGAGGGTTTAGGGTCAGGCTACACAGTGGATGTTAACAATATGGTTATGGTGAGGGTTCCAGGTATCAAATGGATCGCGGGGGAGGTGCTGGAGAGGAAGGTCAGCCAAGAGAACAGCGGGCCATGTCCGTGAGGCCAGCCCTCAGCAGACACACCTGAAACAAGGTGGGTGAGCTTCCTGGACGGCAGTGCTCCTGTTACTGTCACACACAGCTGCTGTCCCCAGGACTCCATGCGACAGGACAGCTGGGAGCTCCCTGCCTGGGCTTCCCTGGCCCCTGAGAGCTCTCCCACTGGCGATTTGCACCACTCTCCCTTTCCTCTACTGCTGAGCACTGCGGTTCTGAGTATGATGGCTTCCCTGAGTTCTGAGTCCTTGCAGGGATTCTTGAACCTGAGGGTGGTCTTGGGGAACTCCTGAACTTGTGAAAACCAAGTGATGTTTATCTCATATGCATGGTTGGTTTAGCCTCTCCAAACCAATGAGTGTCCTGAGGCTGAGGGCACCTGGCCGGGTGAGACAGCAGGGGGCAGTGCGGCTGAGCAGGGAGCAGGAGCAGGAGCAGGGAGGGGCCTGGAGATGACACCAGGGGAGAGCAGGACTGGGTGCTGCCACAAACAAGGCAGCCAGGACTCCTACACTCACCTTGCGGTTTCATGAGAGGCAGCAGCTCTGTGCAGACATCTCGGGTACCAAAAAAGTTTGTTTTCATCGTCACTTCTGCTTGAATATGAAACGGTGTGGGATCATTCACTTTCAGGAGAGGAGAGTAGACTTAATAAATAGTAGCCATGTGGAACCATTCCATAGAATGATATAAAATGTGAATTTTTTGTATAATTGGTTCCTAGTAATAGCACTGTGCAATCACCATTTCCTTGTTTCCTGATGTTCTGAACATAGTGTCTGAGATGGTACCATTCCCGGAGGCTGGTGAAGGGTGCACTATGGGGTCTCTGTGAACTTGTCAGTGCAAAATTCACCCCCTTGCCCTCAAGGTTAAACCAGGAGAAACTGTGACAACCTAGAAAAGACTCTGCACCGAATGCACGCGAGGAGCCCCACTGTACCGATACTCCGACATACCAGCCACCCTGGCTGCAGGTGCTCGGTGACCCCTCCTGCGACCACCCAGCCTTTTACCCTTGAAGGCGATGCCCGCGTTGTTGACCAGCACGTCCAGGCCCCCGTACTCCTTGCGCAGGAAGTCGCGCAGGGCGCGGACGCTGTGCAGGTCGTCGATGTCCAGCTGGTGGAAGCGCGGGCTCAGGCCCTCGGCCTGCAGCTGCTGCACCGCCGCCCGGCCCCGCGCCGCGTCCCGCGCCGTGAGCACCACGTCCCCCGAGAACTGGCGGCACAGGTCCCGCTGCCCTTGTTCCCCGGTCACGAGCGCCACGCGGCTGCAAGACGACATGGCCGGGCAGGAAGCTCGTGAAGCAGTTGCGTGGAGAGCGGAGCGAGACGTGGATGCCCAAAGACTGCGACCAGGGCTCCCGAGAGGATCCGAGAGTCTGCAAGGGCGACTGCAGGGGCACCGTGCGCACGGGCTGGAACCTCTAGTCCTGTGGCCCAGCGCGCATGCGCAAGCCCCGCCCCTAGGGGCGTGGCCCTGCCCCGGCCCCGCCCGGCCCCGCCCGGCCCGCGGTGCTGGGAATGCGAACCAGGGCCACCTGCAGGTTTACAGATGGGCGGGCCCAAGGCGAAGGCCGCTGCTGCCGACAGCTGTCCGTCAGCAGAGGATCATTTTGATTGGTCATCTGACTGTCTTTAAGCTGAGCCCTTAGCTTTGGTTCTCCATGAGTTTTCCCTGGTGTTTTAAAAAATACAGCCTCCAAACAAGTCTTTGGGACTGGAATTGTGCAATCAGCTGGGAGAACGCGACAAGGACTCACGTTGAGTGTTGATTTGTCCCGGAAGTGTGTGAAGGCAAAGCTCCGGGCTCATCCCTGGCTGGTCTTCACCTCGCAGAGGCCCCCACACTCCTTGCAGAGGAACCATGTGATGCTCTACAGGTCAAGATGGCCAGATGGTGGAAGCGGGACCCTGGCCGTCGGCTGGCCAACTCCGCACCGAGTCCCGTGCAGTGAGCGCCACTTCCCCAAGAACCGCCTGCACAGGTCCGCTGTGATGGCGAAGCGGGTGCCCTTACTGGCCACAGTCTCCAGGGCCACAGGGGTTAGGACCCCATGGCTGGCAGAGGTCCTGGGGGCCATGAACAGAGAGCAGACAGCGCTGTGGGTCACAGGGGTTGGGAGATGTGGTCGTGCTCTGTGGTGTCCCAGACAATCTGAGAAGCAGCACAAACTGAGTTCTGTGCTCCAGGGCTGTGACTTCCATCCTCTGTCCCTCCCTCCACCTGGGGGCTGAATGTTCCAGGTTTACTACGGCCCCCATTCTGGGTCTGCCCCTTCCTGTGATGTAAGTTCGGCCCAAGCAGGACATGCACTACCCTCTTTTTTTTTTGAAGCCCAGGAGGTGGAAGTAGCTGCAGGAGTCATTGGTTGGGACCCAGGCCCATCCTCCACTGCAGAAAGGGAATGTCTGCTTTTTCTAAAATGCAATGAAGTATTTGCACAGGGCAACTGCTTGTGAGGACACAGATCGCCTTCCTTTCTTAAGAGAAACCAAAGCAGAGTTAAATAGGCCCTGTGAATGCATTCAGTGTGGGACCCCCAAGTGGGAGGCAGCATTTATGAAGGTGTTTCGGGGACCAAGCTGGTGATGGCATGTGTATTTCATGGTTACATAATCCTGTTTGCTTAAAGTGCCTACAGTAGGTTTTGTCCTTGGTCACAGTTAACAGAGAGATGTAAAACGTCACCCCGCTCACTGGTTAGAACCTGTGGCTGCCTTCATGCTACCACAGCAGATCGGAGTACTCCCAAGAGACTGCGGCTGAAAAGCTGAAAACATTTACTGTCTGGCTCCTTCTAGAATGTATGTGAGCCCCTCAGTCACATTGTTCCTTCCTTGGCCTAACTAAATGTCTATCTGATTTCTGAGCGGGTGCAGCATGCAAGTGATCTGCAGGATGGATCTGTAGCAAGACCCATTATTCATCTGCTGATGATCAGTCATTACTCTCACCCACACTCCTTTCACCCTGTGTCACAGGAGGAATCACAGACTCAAACTTAGTAGCCAATTCAAACTGAATACTTCATAAAGGGGCTAATATATGAGGAAAAGGGGCTGACGCTAACCTGACTAGCTCAGGGTAGGTCTGCGTGGCAGCCTTGTAAACTCAGAAGCCTAAAGTAACCACAATGGTTTCTGAAATTAAAACTTTTAATTATTATTTATTAAAAAATATATTTTATTGATTTTTTTACAGAAAGGAAGGGAGAGGGATAGAGAGTTAGAAACATCAATGCTAAGAGAGAATCATTGATTGGCTGTCTCCTGCACTCCCACTCCTGGGGATGGAGTCTGCAACCAGGACATGTGCCCTGACCAGGAATTGAAACAGTGACCTTCTGGTTCATAGGCTGACGGTCAAATGCTGAACCACACTGGCTGGGCTGAAATTAAAACTTTTTAAAATA